TTCAACCATTCATTTCTAGTCCAGTCGGCTCTGTCTTTTTTTTTTTTTTGGATAATTGTTGTGAAGAAAAGAAAGATGAATTCAAATAAATATCCCATGAGAAAGAAATTATAGAAAGGCCTGAATATCCTCTACTCAATTATTTTTAAGAATCATTTTGTAGAGGTGGGGGTGAATAAAAACTAGATTAATTTTTCACACTTAATTTGTTCCAGGTGTTGAATTCCTGCCCTGAATATAAAGCCAATTGTAAATTATTTGATATATTACTCTTTTTTGTTCCTTCACTCTGAAATAAGTTATTTGACTAGTTACCTGAAATTCTCCTTTATTTCTTGAAATGTGTACCACTTTCCCTGCTACCAGAACTCTGTTTCTGAGACATTCAGTAAGCCCTGTATGTTATTTCCTTAAGCCTTAAAGAACACACCTCTCAGCAGAAACCACTACCCATTTCAAATTCTGTGGGTCTCTGCCATCATCTTTTTACTATCTCTAGATTAAACACAGTGGTATCATTTTTCTCATGGTTTTTTAAATAAGTATGTGAGCAGTCTATCTTATAGGCTGTTTCCATTGTTTTAAAAAGATATTCTAAGCAGGGAGTTTATGGCTCATGCCTGTAATACTAACTACTCAGGAGACTGAGATCTAAGGATTGCAGTTTGAAGCCAGTCCAGCCAGGAAAGGATGTGGTACTCTTATCTCCAGTTAACTACCAAAATGCCTAGAAGTGGAGCAATGGCTGAAGTGATAGATCACTAGTCTTGAACAAAATAAGTTCAGTACATATAGGGTCCTGGGGCTTGAACTCAGGGCCCCAGGACCAGCACACACACACACACAAAAATAAATAAAAAATAAATAGGCTAAAGGAATACTCCAGATTCTACAAATTTAGTGTAGGGATTTTAGGAGACTTAATTTATTATTTATTCTGCTAAGAATAACCTAATTTTAAGACTTTATTATCTAAATATAATGTTACACTCTACATAGAACACTAAAGAGATGCTCTGTAGATTTTGTGTCTTTTAACTAAAATCCTGCCTCTTTATTATATCCAGTTTCAACAGGCACAAATTAAGGCAACAATTCTACATCATTTTTTGTGGTTCTGAATGATAACTGAGGCCCTAAAAATTCGAGTGGGTGTTACAAAAATATTCTTTTATGAATCAGAGAAAGATTTAATTGAGGCAATGCCTCACAAGTTTAAAACTGTTAAAACTAAAAAATATAGCCAATTACCCACTTTATGAGTCTTTAAGAAGGAAGAAACCCATAAACATATTGAAGGAGTTATGTGACTAATAATTATTCACCAGGACTATTAAAGGGAATTGTCTCCCAAATCTTATTTGTCAGGCACAAAATAATAATAAGTACGTTAGACCTATTGACTCTTGCTATGATGGTATAATATTTAGGTTTATTAGCAGGATGACATTAAAATCCAGGTTTCTACTCAGAACAAGTTGGTTCTTTTATTAACAGGAAAACTTAATTAAAATACATTCCTGAAAATTTACAAGAAAACTAATCAGCAATAGAGAATTTTTCCCTTGAGCATTTCACTACTATGAATTATGGGTGTTTTCCATGGCTGGAAACATTAGAAATAATAGAAAACAAGCCATTCATGATGAACTACTTCGGTTTTACTGGAAATAAGCTGTTTTTTATGGTCTCTGAGAGACTTCTGATAATTTTAGTAAAGTCAGTAGGTGTTGTTAGGGCAAAATGAAAATTCTTAGATTAAATTTATATATAATTTGGAACATTATATAGAGTTGGTTAAAGAAGAGTCTGCCTTCAAAATAACTTTTAAAAATTCAATATAAATTACTAAAGTACATTTAATGTATTCAACTGAAGACAAATATCCTCTAAAATGCGATTATTAAAATTATGGTCTGAGCAGATAGTATCAATGCCAGTTCACTGCTGTATCCATTTTACTCATAAAAATCTTTCAAAGAAAGTAAATATTAGAATATGAAATTTTGCATTTCATATTAAATATAATATGTAATACAGTATTATTATGTGATATGATTACAGTCTGTCACCTATAGTCCTAATTACTCAGGAGGCTGAAATCTGAAAATCATGATTCAAAGCCAACCTGGTCAGGAAAATCCATGAAACACTTATCTCCAATTAACCACAAAATAGCAGGAAGTGAACCTGTGGTAGAGCACCAGCCTTAAACATAAAATCTAAGACACAGAGCACAGGTCCTGAGTTCAAGCCCTAGTATGAGCACACACACGCGTGCACGCACACACAAACACACACACACACACACACACACACACACACACACAGAGTCTAAGACAAACCAGTCTGATAAAGTCCTTTCCTTATTCCAATTATTTTGCATTCAAAGTTTTCCAAAGATTGTGAAGTTTCCTAATATTTCTTAGCAGTGCTGAGGATACTAATATCCACTAATTTAACCTATTTTAGTAATTAATACTCCTAACAGCATTTAGTTAATGCTCCATACAGCATCAAACTCAGTCTCTTCAAGCCAACTATTTTTTCTCTAGCACAGAACTTTCTCGAAAAAAACTATTAAATGCACTCATTTGAGACAAGGCGGAAACCTTTGAAAAGATGGAAAAGACAAATTTAAAATTAGAATCAACCCATCAAGATACAATTCTTTCAAGTCTGATTTCAAATGGAAATATAAAAGATTTTGCTAAAAAAAAATTCTTAGCTTCATTTGCCATATATCCAGGATTTTCTGACATTGTCCACTTTTTTCTGGTATTAGGTATAAAATGTGGCATGTCTTCTCAATGTGGCTCTACATTATTTTCCAGGTGAGCCGAATGGTTCTATCAAGATTTCATTACTGCTCACAGTTGGCGCTTTGTAATTCTATGTAATTTTAATTAAAGAAGAATTCTGAAGCAGCCTCCCTCTGTGCTACCTCCAAGCATACAATTAGCAGAGTACAATGTCTGCTGTGAACAGCCAGTTAATGATTTCAGTTTAATAATTTATTATTGCTGCTCCAGCACCAACCAGAGTAGGAAAAATATGAAGCTAAAGCTGTATGCAACAAACAGGCATTTAAGGTGCCCAGTTTTAACAATTTCAAAAGGAATGCTTCATGTAGGTTTGACATCTTCACAAGCTCCAAATCTTTACACAGGAGAGAATACCATTTTCCTTCAAAGACATTCCAGGAGAAAATAAATGTAGGTTTCCCTCTTAAATGTAGCTGTGTCTAGCTGATGACTTTCTTTGTCAAAGCATCCTCCTCTAAGTATTTAGAAACAAGGCATTCTTCTGGAGTACACCCATGGGGGCGGGAGGCGTGCCTGTAAGTTTATACACTGGTATTAAGTCAATTTAAATGAGTCTTTAAAAAGTCTTTAATATCTGCCAGGAACCAATTCCTCAATATGAAAATCTAGACAAACACATTAAGCTGCAATTCTGATCCTTAGAAGAACTTTGTTTTTAAGAAGTCATTGTCTTATTACAGCAAAAAATTGATACATTTAAATTAGTCCTTGTTTTCTGGAAATGTAAAATAGACTAAATAATTGCCAGGTCTTTCAAGCAAATTTGCATATTAGTACATTTTGAAAGCCTTGCTTCACTATTAAAGTTAAAGGAGATTTTAATTTGATAAATGGCAAAAAAAATCCTAAAGCAAAGTAATAAAAACTATACTTTTAGGAGAGAGAATGATAGAAAGGATGACACTAATCAACATCTATTGTACTCATAAACTTACATAAATTACAACTACTTAAAGATAAAACTTAATTAAAAACTAAAGTAAAAAATAAACTAACCTTTTATATGATAATTTCAATATAGGTGTCAGAAAAATATATTTAATGTAATTTTAATTTTGAATTAAAGAGAACATAGGCTTCCACATAATAATAATGTTTTACTCCTAGATTCGTAGCTAAACATTCACATATATATATATAAATAAAACATTTAAATTTATATGATTGAACCAATATAGAGGTTAGAACTTTTTTCTATAGATGTCAGTACACATTTAGCACTGACTAAATTGTTCTGCTTTTCTTTTTACTTTAATTCCACAACCTTGAAAACACTGTAGTTTGGGTCAGTAGATCTTAGAAAATTAAATGCATTAGACTGATAGATAGAATTTAAAAAAATCTTTACATCAGACTATTTTTATTTTATACTAGAACTTAGCTTTCTATGTCTTCTGACTGCCTGATTAAGAACACAGAATGAGAGTAAAGGCAAGAAAAGTACATTAACTACAGGAAGAAGTAAAGAAAAATATATTCTGTTGTTCTCCCAAATATTAAGGTATGTAAGAAGAATGAATTGGCCTGGATTTGTAAGGAACCACACTGAAATAACATTCCCATAAATGCAACAATAACTGGTATTCATACACATGACTTTATTCAGTCAACCTTCATTCAATGATACTTAAACTGTAAAATTAGACTTTTTCAATAAATCATACAATACTATAATTATGTTCATAATCAGGAGCACATCAATCATGTTGCCTTTGATATAAAGTTGTACAAGTAAATAAGAGGTATAACAACCAATTATTTTGTACACAAGAACAATTATATCATTTTCCTTAGTTTCTGGCTTATAAATTCCTAGTGAAATCTGCAACACTGATAAAAAGTAGTTTGAAAGTAAGTTTTTTTTTAGTATAACTACCACTTCAGGAATTAATCAAATTGCACTAAAATTTGTACTTTTCTTTTCAACCACATTTCGCAATTCAGTTTATAACTTATAAACAAAATTTCATGTGGCAAACAATGGAAGCCTATTGCTCTATTCTTCAGTAGCACTTAATAAGAGTTGCTTGAGAAACACTTGAAGAAAAACAGCAATTTAAAAACCTATATCAAAATCATTCCCTCTTGTCCCTAAAGTGGAAAACTGTAGTTTCTGTTTCCTTTTTTTTTTTCTTTTTTGAGGATAAGAACAATTGCCAACCATTTGTTTTTCAGATATTCGGGACAGTGGGGGTCCAAAGCCAGTGATGGTGTATATTCATGGAGGCTCATATATGGAAGGTACTGGAAATTTATACGATGGGAGTGTCTTGGCAAGCTATGGCAATGTGATTGTCATCACAGTCAACTACCGACTTGGGGTACTTGGTAAGGAATCTCTTTTTCTGTTTTATCATTAGTCCATTAAATACTTACTCTCTTTTGACTTTGGTTTTGCTTTCCTTTAACTCTTGACTTTTGGGAATTGAACTGTGTGATAGTTCCAACAAGTTCTATAAATGCTCATACATAACGCACAGACCAGCAGGGAAAATTTTCAAGTGTGAAACTGACAGGTAATGAAATCATTCTCATTGTTGCCAAAGTACTTTGTGGTTTTGCTTAACAGATCCAATGAAAGGCCTTTACTAAAAAGTCTCTGAACAAACTTTGATCTTCCTCTACTTCTCCTTCCTTCCTTCCTTCTTTCCTTCCTTTCTACCTTCCTTCCTTCCTTGAATCCTTCCTCTTTCCTTCCCTTCCTTCCTTCCCTTCCTTCTTTTCTTCATTCCTTTTTTCTTTCTTTCTCTTTCTTTTTCTCCTTCCTTCCTTCCTTCCTTCCTTTCTATTTTTTCTTTCTCTCTTTCCTTCCTTCTTTTCTTCTCTTTCTCTCTCTTTCATTCTTCCTTTCTACAATGTTATAAAGTTGCCTGAAGTTTGCTATGGATTTAGAAGCAAGTTTATTTTCTCTTTGGGAATATACGGTATATGGACTGGTTTTGGGGAATGATCACCTACTATTGCCCTATGGGAATATTTTCTCTGTATTTGATGTATTCTTTAATTTTGCAAATCAAATATTAAATTCATAAGGTGATGGAAAGTCCATTAATTTTTACTGTTCCTAAAAAATCATAAAGTCAAAGTAGAGATTCTTGGTTTTGAAAAATAAAGTATGGGAAAATATTATTGGCAGAATATCTTTTCATATAGTTTGAGGGAGGCATTAGCAATGGACATAGCTCATTGATAAAGATAAAATTTGCTATTTTACCAACCTAAATTTCTTATAATGTTGGCACAATTTGAGTGTAAAATCACTGTGTCATTAAAAAGTCTCATCTGTTGTATTTCAGTTAATACAATTTAATAAAAGATCACAATTCATCCATGAAAGATTTTATTCTTTAATCTTAATTGTGCTCAAAGATTTCATTCCATCCTACACAGAGGTATAATTTATCATTTTGTTTAGACAAAGAGCTATATCACTCTTAAACTCTTTTATTTTAAAATATTTTGAAAGAGAACTATGATGATATATTCTTTCATAATCATTTATAATATTATATATTTTGCCAGGTTTCTAACTCTCATGCAATTATAATTCTATATTTATTTTAATCACATATGTAATATGATTAGGTTTTTTGGGGGGGTGGTCTGGTCATGGGGTCTGAACTCTGGGCCTGGGCACTGTCCCTCAGCTTTTCAGCTCAAGGCTAGCACTCTACCACTTGAGCCACAGCGCCACTTCCAGTTTTTGTTTTGTTTTTCTGCTTATGTGGTGCTGAGGAATCAAACTCAGGGCCTCATGCATGCAAGGCAAGCGCTCTACCACTGAGCCAACTTCCCAGCCCTATGATTACTTTTTGTAATTAAGTTTGTATGTATTCAGGAAGGAGAATCTTTAAGAATATGATTGTGAAGTCTTAATCTTTTTGTAGATTGCTATTTTGAAATTTGGATTGCATTAGTCATTTCAATACAAGCATAAACATGTTTGTAGTCCTGTAGAAGTAGACATTAGTTCTACTTCAGGGTCAAATTATGTATTGTTTCAGATGATTTTATAATTTTAATGTGCAGAAATAAGTGTGTTGTTACCAAGAGAAACTACGAAAATTGGAAGATACATAGATATGCTCATACTTATTCTGAAGTCTTATTATTTGTAATCTTCTAGAATATGCGTGCTTTAAATATCTACAATGCTTTTCATTTCAATGATAAAATTGTTTATAATTTTTAAAATTTTGGTTATTGCTCTCTTATTTTCCTGAATTTCTCAAGTTACAACTCCTGAGTTGTGCTGAGTTTTCAAACTGAAAGTGTTAAATTAAATAAAATAGTGTTAAAAAATTTTAAAGACTTGAACATCCAGCTAGTCATGGACATGTGTTTTCTTTTAAAAGTCTTCATATTGCCTTTTTCATTTATTATGTATGCTTGCATATAACACAATTCCATAAAATGGACTTTATTGTTACAGTAGCCATTTGCTTTTTTCCTTTCTTTATGTTTGTCTCTAACTTATTTAGAACTGGTGGGCTGTTGGCATTGATCCATTCATGCCTAAATTCCAAACTGTGGTTCAGGATGTGGGACAACAAATTAACAAGCCAAATACAAGAAGAGCACAGTCAAGTGCTTGGACTGTACAATTTTGAACTGTTGGTGTTGATGGATTTCTTGGTTGTTAATGTTTATTCTGGCTCTCTTACACTCCTAGTTTTGTCTTTAGTTGCTCCTGTATTCCTGTTAACCACCTCTCAGAAACAGCCAAGGTAGTCCTTTATTGTTCTCTCAATCTGACAAACTGCAAAACTGCATGTAAATCATTTTATGCATAGTTTAGCACATTAATTCTAGAATGAATGGATTCTGATCACTTTCTTCCAGATATATATATATATATATATATATATTGGGCCTTATGAAATGAATTTAAATGGATTAATTCATGAAAAAGAAATTACCAGAAACTTTGTTTCAGCAACCTTACCATAAGTGGCACACATTAATCAATACCAGCAGTGAGTCACACAGAACCATTACAATGAGAGCTGCAGAACTTTGTGGTTGTTGTAAACAACTGATTTAACAGTAACAAGGTAAGCCAAGCTCTCTTGAGTGTGTGATCCAAAAGTATTGATGTCAAGGTCTTACATGGATAAATTCTTAGAGAAAAGGTTTGTTCCCACATCTGAGGAAATCCTGAATTCTATTCAATTCAGGTGTATTGTTGTGAAAGAAATTAATTCCATATTCCAATATGCAAGTTGCAGAAGTATACTACAATTGTTCTAACCTGAATGGTGAACCAATCAGTTTGATATTGCCACTCAAGTGAGGAAGTGTGTAAGTTTCATCTTTTGATTTTGGTGATAAGTACAAATGTAATAAAAACTCAGTTATAAAATTTATATCCCTAAACATTCTTTAAATAGTCTAGTCTAAAGCATTTCACACTTTAAAAAGTTACAAATTTCCAAGTAGGAGCAGTATAATGGAAAGTACAATACCTCTTCTAATAGCGTTGCTCTGATGATCTCATGCAAACAGTTCAGATTCTTATCACAACGTTTTTGTGGTGTTATAGATATTCCTCAAAAACACTAGAAATGGAACTACCATAATACTGTCACATAGTCCAGCAACACCATTCTTGGGCATTTATCCAAGATTGCTGGAAGCATATAATAAAGATGCTTATGCATCCATATTCATTGCTACAGTATTTCTCATAGTCCAGTCATGGAAACAGCCTAAATAGTCTAGATTGAAAAATGAATTAAAAATATGGTATATATACATATATATTATATCATATATAATGCATTTGTAATGATTATGTATGTACTTATATGTACAATATGTAATTAAATTACATGTGAAATATGCAATTGTAAGTAATTTTATTTCATATATTTTTCATTAGTAGATATGTAATTATATTACATATATAATATATGCAACAAATTTATTCATTTATGAGGAAGAATAAAGCCATTTTTAGGGAAATGACTGAGAGACACAAACTGCATGTTTTTTCTCATATGTGGAAAGTAGATCTAATATAAACAAATATAGAAGACATGTATGGCTGTATGAAGATATACACAAACAAATTAACTAAAGTATGGTATATACAGAGGTGAATTCCCTTGTTGGACAATGTATGAACAGTTTAACCAAATGAATATCAGGATTCTGAAACATGCATGGCTGTGAGAAATGGGTTTTAAGGGGAACAGGGCAAATGAATGGAGAGAGGAAGAGTAGACAAATGTAGCTATAATACTCATTGTGCATATGCCAAATAGGTAACATGAAGGGATAGGCGGTGTTAGAGTACATCAGGGAGAATGATGGGAGCTGTGACCATCGATCAAGATGCATTGATCAAGATGCAGTGTGCTCATAAATTGATATGTTGAATTGAAACCCCTCTGTGCAAGTACTTAAAGATAATCCATTTTTAAAATTCTCTTTGGCTTTCTCCTGGAGTGGTAATATGAATCATTTCTATGACTGTGTGGTATCTGATTTATCCCTTTGTAAATACTATGGCAATGATAAGGAGAGCCACTGGTAAAGTTGACAAACAGGCCAGCAGTTATAAGGTTCTACCTCTGACCTGACTTCTTCAGCTTTACCTTAAAACTCCTGGTGACCCTACCTCGGGTCCTAAACTGACCATTTAGGCTTTCTCACACTTCTTGCTAGTTACATTTTGACACATACTCCACATTTGCATCCCTCAGCATGCACATCTTTATTTATTTAATACATCCTCTCTGTATCCTTTAAAATGTACTGCTGATAATTGCTAGTTGGGTGACTATTAATGTTCTAGTGTATGGATGATTAAAAGGGTCATCTTGGCAACTTAAGGAGAAATGCTTTGATTATGTATTATTTTTTCAAATTTTTTATCTTTATGCCTTTTTGTTAGCATCAATTAGTAGTGCAACAGGGTTTCAATTTGACATGTCCATATATAGACAACCTACTTTAACTAGACAAAAACTCTCAATCATTCTCCCCCATCACCCTTCCCATTCACAATCTTCACTGTATTTTTAAAGAGAAAAATAACTGCTATTAAATGTTATGATTATAACCAGAAATTGTGCATTCTTATGAGCAATATCTAGAGGGAGAATAATATCAATCATTCAGTTTGGATGGGGTACTGGGCACTAAATATTCCTGAAAATAGAAACTACTCAAATGATAATATAAATTACCACAATGGACTCTTATTTTGACAAACAAAAAACAATCTCATCAGGTATAGTTTATTGATATTTTTTGTCTTAATATGGTTATTTTGGAGGCAATTAGGCAATGCCAAATTTAAGCTTACGTGATTTATTTTACAA